TCCCAAAGGCTTCTGATGCACGAGTTTTGCGGAATTTTTAGCTGGAAAAGCAGGTGAAAGAAGTCAAAGGATTGGTTATCCGAGAGATAATTATCGTGGTCAGGATTGCAGGCGAGTCATTCCCCTGTGGTCGGTGTCCAGGACTTTTGGCTAATTTAAATTATGCAACCTTTAGATTCTTTGGATTGTATTTTATCGCCAAGTTACTTAAAAAATCCTTTATTACGTTTGTCAAGTTTCTTGTTCCATTTTCCCAACTTTTCAGCTTATTTTTATGCAATTTTCTCGTCTCTTTATCAAACTCCCAGTGAAACTGTAAATCTTCAATTTTCGTTAATTAAAACTATTAACCCTTTGCACTCGAGAGGCGCCCTTCAGTCACCATTTGAGAAAATTTCGAAGATCGATATTAATTAATATGTCAAATTTAAGATAACGTAACGGTGTGCGAGCTATCGAAATCAAATAATTCTATGTGTCAATTATTATACTGTTTCTTATTTGCTGCTTAAAAAAATATCACCAGTTTCATAGTAAAAAATCTTGCAACTCCTACTCTTCTTTAGCCAAAAAATCATGGAGTGTTAAATCTAGTAACATCTAGTTTCTAAATCTACCCCCGGTATAAGGGTTGTTTTTATTTTCAATGTTTCATTCGATGCAAATAATTTTAATTCAAATAAATTTCAATTTCTCAGTCTCGGGTTATTCCAGAGTCACATTCGTGGTTGCCATAGATTATAATATGCCATGATACGAAAGTGCGAGATATTTCTATGAAAGGATGAGCGCGGAAAGTATGTTTGGAATGATTATGTGAGTGACTTCAGGCTAAAGTTGTTGTTCTGGAAACGAGTATGCGTGTATAATGAATGTAGCGTGGTATAATCTGGGTATTTTTGCGTACCGTATGGTGGAAGAGAGAATGAAGGAGAGAGGAGTGTGTTAGATTAGTACAAAGCGAGAATTGAGAGAGCGAAGAAGTCTAGTTGAACCAGGGTTCTATTTCAAAGAGAAAGAGAAAATACAGATATTGCACGTTTCTACGTTATATACAATATTATAATTCCCTTATAATTTCCTGTTACCCGACAAAATTTTTTTGGAAATTATCAGTATACTTACACAATCCACTAACAACGATATTGACAAATTTGCAATGGCGTTAGGCTACTATATGGAGCATAATACTAAAAAATGTACAATTCCACTTAAAAAGGTAATTAAATTTTTCCTATCCTCGCATGCAACAGTTCAAACAGCAAAACTTCTTCCTCAAGAATTTCTTGAAACAATGATGAATAACGGAAATAGAGATCACAGTTCTCGTGACTCGCGCTATATAGATACCAATCAGAAAAATGGCGCGCAATTTAAAAAATCGCGATGATTTTCGAATTTTCAAAAACCAGACAATAGTCACTAATGACAGTGATAGTCGAGGTGTTAGTTTACACTGCGAAATTTCCCTTTAGCATTTCTTGAGGCAATGATCAATAACGGATATAGAGATCCCAGTCCTCGTGACTCGCGCTATATAGATACCAATCAGAAAAATGGCGCGAAATTTAAAACTATATGGAGCATAATACTAAAAAATGTACAATTCCACTTAAAAAGGTAATTAAATTTTTCCTATCCTCGCATGCAACAGTTCAAACAGCAAAACTTCTTCCTCAAGAATTTCTTGAAACAATGATGAATAACGGAAATAGAGATCACAGTTCTCGTGACTCGCGCTATATAAATACCAATCAGAAGAATGGCGCGCAATTTAAAAAATCGCGATGATTTTCGAATTTTCAAAAACCAGACAATAGTCACTAATGACAGTGATAGTCGAGGTGTTAGTTTACACTGCGAAATTTCCCTTTAGCATTTCTTGAGGCAATGATCAATAACGGATATAGAGATCCCAGTCCTCGTGACTCGCGCTATATAGATACCAATCAGAAAAATGGCGCGAAATTTAAAAAATCGCGATGATTTTCGAATCTTCGAAAAGCGGACAATAGTCACTAAGGACAGTGATAGTCAAGGTGTTAGGTCACACAGCGTAACTTCCCTTTAGTATTTCTTGAAACGATGATCAATAACGGAAATAGAGACCCCGGGTCTCGTGATTCGTGTTGCACGGACAGCGGTCCAGAAAATGGCGCGTAATTTAAAAAATCGCTATAAACTCGCGATGATTTTCGAATTTTCAAAAAGCAGACAATAGTCACTAATGACAGTGATAGTCAAGGTGTTAGTTTACACTGCGGATTTCTTGCGGCAATGATCAATAACGAATATAGAGATCCCAGTCCTCGTAATCCACGCTGTATAGATACCAGTCAGAAAAATGGCGCGTAATTTAAAAAATCGCGATGATTTTCGAATTTTCAAAAAGCCAGACAATGGTCATTAACGACAGTGATTGTCAAGGTGTTAAGAAAAAATACGAAAACTGTTCTCCGTGCCAAGGAATCCTCGCCTGAATTCTATCATTCGAAATTCCGCAAGCCGATTCCCATCTTCCCGCAGACACCTTCGGTTTTTCCCGCTTTCAGCATTCGGCGCGCGTGCGGTCATTGGCGCGAGGAAAGAGCGGAACTAACGACGTCGCGTGCAAAAGCCGAAATGGTGCGCCGCAGGGCCAACTCTCGTCGATTTCGTTCGATAACCGGTGTCAGAGAGGCCAGGTCCTGGCCGGCTTCCGGCTTGTTCGTGGACGATGAAAAAAGCGGACAGGGGAGAGAGAAAGGGGAGAAAAAAATCGGGGCAAAAAGATGGCAAAGGCTAAGTGCTTTTGGATTAAGCGTGGCGGAATTATCTGGGCGTGTTTTAAATTTTTAAAAGGCGCGCGCCGTTTGAAGCGGTCACGCTTCCGCAAGAAGGTGCGTGTCTCTGTGAGACGCAGCCGGCTGGACAAACCCTTCCTGCGACTATTGTATTTCCGTTACCTTCCTCCGCTGCAGTGCGTTGTCTAGCCTTTATTTAACGAGAATAATTGCTCCTGGGGCTAGATGGCGCGGCACGGAGAGGGGCGTGCACGCTGCTTGCGACATTTCCCGGCAACTTCTTCGCGGAGGAGCGACGATCTCTTTCCC